CAGTCTTCCTCCTGGTTTCTTTCATTCCTTTATATTCCCAACAATAGAAATTTCCATTTTACTCCCATTTCCTACTCTCCTTCCTAACATGCTTCCTCTTACTAACTAGAAGACTAAACCAGGGAGGCTTTATTCTGATGTCACAAAAAGAATTTTAAGTTCTTAAATGACCCACAAAGGAATGCTACTACTATCATGACGAAGTACTAAGATCATCCCAATTGAATAGTCTTAAGTTAAAGCATTAAACCTTTGGTTTGTTCTCAAAGTTTGCTCTCACAATCATAGATATCCAGGAGAAAAACTTTGCTTTGGATGAACAAAATTATAAGATCATACAAACTGATATGCTATCACATTAAAGTATTTTTGAAGCAAGAGGAAAAAGCATATTGTAGAAAAGAAACTTTTGTTTACCGCCATCTGGGGCTGATACCCCAGTACAATGTAAGATTAGTAACTTTTGTTTTTGGTAAATACAGAATATATCAACCCAAAACAACTATAATCAACTGTTACTAGGAAACTTAATTTCGGCAACATCGCAAAGGGACATAATAGGAAAGTAGAACAATAGAAAAGTAATGCTCTAACACTCTCTCTCAAGTTGGAGTATAGAGATAAAAAAATGCCCACCTTGGAGTAAAGGCTACTAAAAGTAGATCACCCCAATGATTTGGTGAGAAAATTACTGAGTTGATCGCAATATCTCCAAATAGTCAACAAGGAAAAAACCAATTTCTGGGTGACTGCTTCAAACCATTCAATGACTTATTTAATCGACACACACTACCATAGATTCTAACTCGAAGAATCTTAATGACACTATATACTTTCCACTCTTAAGATGCGTGCAATTAAAAAATATGATCTCAATGGTATAATTGAAAAGCTATCGTGGATCTGACCCAAATACGCATTTAAATTTGTTGACTACATAGATCATGGAAAAGTGGTGTGTTTTAAGGTTTTTTCTCATGTATCTAATTGACTTGAGGAAAGTCGTCATAGAGGACGCAATGAAATTCATCTAAAATAGATGTGGTTCTTATCATCACTTTCTCACAGTGTTTGGAAGCACCAAATGAGCCTTGGAAATAGAACTTAAGGTCGCGGTATCGGTCATTGACTAGTCCACGATACTTCCCCTACACAAGTGGTTGCTCCATGTCAAGTATAAGACATCCATTTTGTGATTTAGAGAAGCAACAAACAATCAAACCAAAACAAGCAACAAAAATCGGCAATCAGGGTACCACAAAGAAATAACTATGGTGATGATAAAGGACAAACACAACACTAGCACCACCACCAACAATAATGATGCAAACGAACACAACCAACAACACCACAACAATAATAAATTAAGTTGCAACAATAAAAAAAAAGGGTAAACTAAGTAGAATTGAAGTTGAATTACCCAAAAAAAAAAAAAAAGGTTGAACTGGTGCTAAAAACCACAAAACCAAAACTAAACCGGTATGAAAACTCCAGAATTGACATTCAACTAGATTGAAAACACTGAACCGAAATTGAACCAACATAAAAACCACTAAACCAACATCAAACTGTGCCGAAAACTACTGAACCGACACTAAACCAAATTGAAAAAATGAATCGAAATTAAACCAAGATGAAAATCACTAAATCAGCATCAACTGTGCCGAAATCCTTTAAAGACGAGTAAAAACGCTGAACTCAAATTAAACCAGGATGAAAAAAACACTAAACCAGCACCAATCTGGCCAGAACAACGCTGAATTGACACCAAGTTTGGCTGAAAATACTGAAGCAAGAATTAAACCATGATAAAATCCACTAAACCGATACCAAACTAGCCCAAAAAACAATGAACCGGCACTAAACCTGACTAAAAACACTAAAACGAAACTACAGCAGGCTACAAACCATTAACCAACATCAAACTGGGATAAAAACAACTAAACTGACATAAACCGGGTTGAAAACACTGATAAAAAATAAACCGAAATTAAAACTACTAAACTAGCACCAAACTAAGTTGAAAATCATTGAACCAATACTAAACTGGACTAAAAACACTAAAATTGGCATTGATGATCAAACATTGGAGACACGAACATGGATTTAGGCACTCAGAATGGCTGATAAAGATCACAACACCTGATGAGCAACTAATGCAGATACTGGCAACAGAAAATTGCAACTTTTAGTGATTCTGATGAGGACAACAACAGGCGAACACATAGACAAGTACAACTTAATGGGTTGGCCCAACCACTAGGTGAATGAGGTGTTCGCCTAGGGCCGAACACCTCACCCAAGTATCTTGCTCTGATTCCAAGATGAAACTTGAATATTGTATATTATGATTAAGGAAAAGAAAGAGAAAGAGAAGAGAGGAAGAAAGAAAGTATGAAACAATCCTGTGTAGCATGTGTTGTTGCTTACACCCTATCACCTATAAATATTATATTGATATTGAAGATAATTACAATATTAAGAAAGTAGAACATAACAGGAGAATCACATAATAGAAAAATAGAAAAATAGAACAATAGGAAAGTGACATAATAGGAAAGGACAAATAGAGGAAAATAACACTCTAACAACATAAAAGCTATAAATAAATCATAGTATCCAAAAGTGGTAGGCCCTATATCATAGAGAATAGTCCTGATATCAGCAGGTGGAAAACAAAGAAAATGTATAGCCAAAAACCAACTTGATAAAGAGAGGACCACTTTTGTCCGGATCCTCTTGATTTTGTTGATTTAGATATTCTCCTAAATCTAGTACTACAATATAGTGAATAATAGAGGAAGAAGTGACAAATCAAATTACTTTTTCTTTGCAACCAAATAAGAAACTAGTATAGAAAATGATAATGAATACCTGCGATGATTCTGGTAGAAGTTGTCAAGCTGATAGTACACATAAATAGGATGTTTCATATGCTTGGGCACCTGATATTGTTCAGTAACATAATTTAAACGTGTCTACAAAGAACAATGAATAATAAACCTTTTGCTGTATACGTAAGACTGGATATCTGGTATACAAGGAACATACCGTCAGGGTTCTGTTGCAGGTTTTTTCTCCAGGGGTTTGTATATATTTGACCTTATCGTTTTTGAAGTCCTGTGGTATGCAATCAGTTTCATATCGATCAATGATTTCAACAACCTAGCAGAGAGAAAAAGAATCCATACTCAATAACATAAGGAAGAAAACACAATGTATGATAGTTGGGGCAGTTTTGAGCATACATCCCGAGAAGCGAACAGCGAGGCAACTCCAATGGGAATGAAGACAAGGCTAACAAACATAAATGTTGAAATCACCTGCACATGGAACGAAGAGGTCAGCAGATAAATATGCTACCTATAACGTCGATAAACCACCAAGAAAAACTTTGAAATTTAGAGAAGAAACTAAAGAAAAATCACCCATCGTGGTGTAAGAATTGGCTTGCATGCAGGAAGTTCCTGTTGGGTAAACCTTGAATCTGAAGGACAAGAATTGAAAAGCAAAATTGGGTCAGAAATACTCACATTGTGATGCAATAAATTTGTTAAACTTGTTTATGTACCATGAACAGCTAAAACTTATCATACATGAAAAGTGAGTGTCACAGCGACAATAATGTTCACACTAAACTTCTTATTCATCTGAAAGTGCTACAGGGAAGTAAAAATTAATATATATATATATATTTATCTCAGGGTACCCACAGGAAAAGGGGAGAAAAAATACCTATAGGCGGAAAACAAAAAACCTCCCATATATCTAGTTAAGACCTCATTGAGCTTAACTAACTTGTTACAATTCAAAAGATGTTGAACAAATATCTTTGCATCAAAAAATGACTGAAGGAGCAGATTACACATCTAAAAAAAAGAATTACATAAACTGAAAGGATGATTTCATAATCCATTATATGCCTATTAACTTTAGGTAAATGCATTTTCAATTTTATGCTTTCACTCTTGTGTTTTTCTCATTTTTGTCGCATTATCTTATTTATGCAACTAACAAACATTGCAACCAAACACCCCTTATGTCTAACTAGAACAATTTGAGAGAGAGCTCCATATGATCTGGTAATTTGGCCAACAGCTTGGTTGGAGTGGCTTCGTTACGATGCCAACAACTTGATTACTTTTTACTTCTCTTCTTTTATACTTTTTTGTTATTAGTTGCACTCCTACCAAACACGCCACATAATACATAGCAGTGCAGCATTCTAAGCAAGCTTTGCTCAGTTACAACAAAGACTCCTGGTAGCCTAGTGATCTAAGGCCCAATATTCCAATCTGTAATTCATACCTACCTATTAGTTCAAGTCTATAGGTCGTGAGTCTATCTATAGTATATTAGGACACTTTTACTTCTATTTCTATCCGATGTGAGACTCTCGCACATGCGATACCCAACAATCTCCCTTCATGTGTGAATCACATCGGGCTTTGCTTCCCCGTGAGTCTGATCCACTTCTCTCTACAATCTACAATACCGTGTCCAACCACTCTTTGCAAGAGGCCACTAATCCAAGAACCAAGCTTAACACTCTTTATAAGAGCCCATTTTTTCAAGAGCCAAGTTTTTACCGCTCTTCATGAGTCACCACACCACTCTATCAAAAGTCCTTGTGCCTAGGCCCGCGCCCTACTCTATTTCTGAGTTGAGTCTCTATGACTTCAATACCAAGAGCCCGTCAATTTTCTTGAGAGCCATTGTTAATAACAATATTTTACACCGCTTTTTTGAGAGTTCACCCAAGATTTTCAATCATCGGCTTTGATTCTATTTTGTTGTGAACGTGTAAGTTGGTGAACAATTAAAAATGAGATAATTACGAAAATAAGAACACAAGATTTATGGGGATCCATAAAAATTCTACGAGCGTCCACGAGAGTGGCTTTTTCCTTGTATTCAATACAACTTAAAAATATATTTATAAGCACTAGTTAATTACCCTAATTCTGGCCCAACTAGGAAACCTAGTTCTAGACTTTTATTAAATTGAATACATCAATTCCTCATATACATCCTAGATTACCCAATCCTAGTAAAACTTTTCCATTAGATGTACATTGAAAATCCCCGATGTATCCATACCTTGCCACGGGGGCTATGCCCTGCATCCCCAACCTATTATTTGGCCCTGGTAACCAAATAGTAGAGACTGCAACCAATCTGCCTTTATGAGTCGCCATAATTATAAGCACTAGTTAATTACCCTAATTCTGGCCCAACTAGGAAACCTAGTTCTAGACTTTTATTAAATTGAATACATCAATTCCTCATATACATCCTAGATTACCCAATCCTAGTAAAACTTTTCCATTAGATGTACATTGAAAATCCCCGATGTATCCATACCTTGCCACGGGGGCTATGCCCTGCATCCCCAACCTATTATTTGGCCCTGGTAACCAAATAGTAGAGACTGCAACCAATCTGCCTTTATGAGTCGCCATAATTCTCTTTATCATTCAACAGTCTGCGTCTTGGTTCGCATCTTCTATACATCTCTATCAGCATCTTACGTCAGCGTCTTACCTGCTCTTGGGAGCACTAGGTAGTCATCTGTTTCACCAACCTCAAAGGAAAACCCAATGACCAGTAAACTTATGTACAAGACACCAAATCAATATTGAGTGGATGCTAGCCAAGTATATCCCAAACTATTGTCTTAACACGGCTAAAACTCCAAGAATCTAAATGCTTGAAGAACTATCTTCAATATTGGCACACTATATTATTGAAGAATTCACCCATAACCATTAATCATTGATTTTGTTAATATTTTTTTTTTAATTGAAACACTTATCAACATTTCAAAATGACATCCTTAATGTAAGTAGAACAAAATCAATCTTCACACCATGTCATACACATGACTCAGGGAGCCTTCTACAACATGAACGCCAACTTTATCATTGAATCTACTCTGATTGTTGCATTAGGATCATCTAACTCTGATTGCTCTATTAGGATTGTTAACCATAAGCAGAGTTTGTTTTGAATGTGTGGGAATCCCACGTCGGTCAGATAGAAAAAAAAAGAGGTAAAAATGTCTTAATATACTATAGATGGCCTTCCTACCTATAGGATTAAGCTTTTAGGCATGTATGAGTTCTACACATGCATATTGGCCCTTAGATCCCTGGACTCCCAATCTCTCAACAACCCCCAACCTCAAGGACCCCATAATCGAGAATAAGCAAACCAAACACCCTAACAATGATGCTTCATCTCTACTTTGTTGTAAACGCAACACTAGTTGGGTAATGTTCCCCTTCATCCTATGCCATTGGTATGCAACTCTAGTTAGGTAATGTTCCCCTTCATCCTATGCCATTGGTAATAAATATCACCAATTTTAAATTTTCCAAATATCTCCTCAACCCCCTCCCCTCCAAAAAAAAAAACAAAAAAAAAGGAAACAAAATATGTAAAAAGAAAAAAGTCCCCTCACCATACAATCCTTATGTCATAACCTCACTACAAATGTCTTAATCCTATCATACATATGTGCAACTTCTAAATCTATCTTCTCCTCAAAGCAAGACTATTAAAAAATACCTAATAACACAATTTTGCTAAACTTAACATCAACCAAAACCCTAGTCAGAGACAACTTGTCCATTGATAGTCTTTTTCTTTTCTTTGATAGAAAACAAAATAATTGTATTGATTTAAAATGATAAAAATTGATACATCTAAAAGCACTATGGATGGATGGACAAGATGTTCAATCGTGAAATAAAAAAATACAATTCTCAAATTATAAAATTATATATCGTATGAGGCCTTCCAATCCGCCAAATACAAAAAAACGGAATGCCATCAAACTCCTTCATAACATATGGCCACATCCATGCCAAAAAAATATATGCGATCCATAAACCTTTCTTCCATTCTCCTCTATTTTCAAAAATCTTAGAATTCCTTTCCAACCATATTACCCATAGGATTGCAAGAAAAGCACAATGTTAGAGTCATCGCTCTTTAACCTCAAATTCCCCCACTAGCATTATTGAAAATGTTCTAGGAATCACCCAGGACAACTAGCTACTTGAAATGGTTTGGACCATATGAACAAAACAATAGGGCAATGCAATGTAGAATGAGAATTAACAATTATTCTATTTTTATTATTTTGTTTGGATGAGACTTTACTTAGGAATTTTCTAGAATATTTAGTTGTCTAAACCATGTAAATTTTTCTAATTCATTAGACGTGTGTTATTTATTTTTGGTAATTTTCCCAACACTAGGGATTTGTTTCCATTTAAGAAATCTTAGGATTTTAGATTTTCCTATAAATTGTCCTGTTACTTTCTCTGTGGATTCAGAGTACATTTGTTCTATATACTTAAAATTGTTGTATTCTTTGTGTTCTTTTATTCCGCTACATCAATTGGTATCAGAGTCTTGCCTAACCTGGTGTGATGGCTAATCAATGCAATGGTACCAATTTTCTTAATGACGGTGATCATGTGGACCGAATTATTAGAGTACCAGCGACAACAGCAGCAGTAGTTACAACAGTCTTTGCAAAAGCTGTGGTTTACGGTTGCGCAGTTGATGTTAAGTCCAAATCAGGATCTCAATCTAGATAAGGTGTTGAACGGCGACAGGACTCGTGTTTTACCTTTTCGAGATTGTTATCCTATTTATCTTATGAAACAGTGTGTTCGTGGTACAACTACCCAAGTATCACCCATTGCATATTATAAAGTTGTTGAAGAATATGATACATATCAATCTATGAGGCAACAAATTAAGTTTGGATTGAGACAATTGATTCAAGATAATATTGAGTTACAATCTTTTTCATCATATGATTATTCTGCTCATCAAGTTTCATATTAAAAATCCATGAATGTGAATTTTTCAAGCACATCGAGGATCAAGAAAGTGACGAGAAAAATACTGTTTCAAATATTTCCATGTTTCATAATTATACAAGTACAGAAAAGAAAGAAAAAAAAAATTTAAGTTATCAAGGATCAAAGATTGATGGCAATGATGAGACAAAAAGGACTTATGGTGATGTTGGGGAGCCACTTGAAGATTATCAAGAGGGAAATATCGAGAAAACTAATGAAGTAAATAGCGATCACATTATTAATGATGCTCTAGGCACTATATGTGAACTCAATACGTTGGAGCTTGCTGAAATCTTTGAAAATGGAAAAAGTTGTGAAGAAATCTCAGATGATGACATTTTCCACATCAATTTTATTGATTGCCACGATAATTCAAGGGAGTTGATTGACGTGCATAGTGAATTTATCATAGTATACCCCAATATTGAGAAGTTTATAAACAAGTCTCATGAAGTGATCCAAATTGATTTGATTATTGGGAAATAATTTAAAATCAGAAATTCTATCGAATATTTTACAACATATTTTGTAGGATCCTTGATTCCGGGGTCAGATGTAAACAAAGACATTATGGCAATCCATGTAAGGCTAGAAAAGATCAATCTCA